ACAAACATCCTGACCAAACCCTGCCTGTTTAAATGTGGCCGTGTTTTAAAATATGCCACCAGGGCCGTGGTGGCTTGCCGTCAGGAAACCTGGCAATGGAGCTCGCTGAATTATCTGCTCATTAAGCCAGGGACACGTGTGGTTGTGCCAACAGATAGGAAAAGAGCTTTTCTTTGAAATACATCAGCCATTCTTGACTTTAAAAATCTAACTGAAATGTGAATAAATAGTCTAAGGTGAGTAACAGCTGCTTCTGGGAGCGTAGTCCTTAGCTAGTGGAAAGGCCTTCTGGGAAAAGACCTCCCGGCTGCTGTCACCATTCAGCCCCACCGCAAAGTGTCTGTGCCGCGGTGGACACAGAAACTGAACAGGAAACAAAGGCTGGAATGGAGGCTGGATGTCTTCATTTGCAGACCACTGTGGTTCTGTGCCTTGATGAGGTCGGTGGTGACTTTAGAAGCGGGGAGTTTCCTTCCCTCCCCTTCAGTTGTGGTGTGGTCTGCATCCTCTCAACGTGAAGACCCTTCTGCATACCTGGACCCCACCTTCCCACCGCAGGATTTAGAAATTACACCTCCCAGCCCCACAGCTCCAAGCACAGCTCGCCGCTGCTCGGAGGCTGTGAGCAGGGTTGACCTCGGGAGAAGTGACTCAGAGCTGCCACCCCAGGGTGAGGGCCATGGAGCTGGTGCAGCCCCTGTCTCTGCTGGACTCCACCTTCAGCTCACCAGCAAAGCCCTGTCAAACCCTCTGCCCAAGCCATGAGGCAGACTCTGGGGTCTGCACTAGAGCAGACGTTGTGTGTCCAGGGACCACCACTCAGCTAGCTGAGGAGTGTGGCGGTAGTATGCCCGCTGTTTTACTTCGAGACCTAGCCATTCACCAAGGCAGCCTACACCTGTCTTATTCAATGCAGCCATTCATATTGTCTTCCCAGCGTGGTGCCTAACAGAGTCGGGGGAGGGCAGACTGTCACATCTGTCACTTAAGTATCTGTGGAAACTTGGGTCAACCCAATGGTCATCAGCCAAGAGAATCTTCATGCTTGTATGTGTCGACTCCCCCAACCCATCCTTTCTGGGGCTGCCTGTGGCCCACCATCACACCATCATCACCCCTCAGATCTGGGACCTTGAGAATGCCTCCATGTCCTAACTGAGTGGACCCCCCCTCCACCTGACTATATGCTCCCTACTGAAATGTTTCAGCAGCTCCTCCTAGGGTTGTCTGTTCGCCTCTCAGAGGCAAAGCGGGGTTAAGCTTCTGGAAGCACCAGGACTAGGGGACTCAGGCCCTCGCCACTGACCTGCCAGTAGCCATCATTTGCTTGCTCTTATGGTGTGGGCCACTTACAAAAAAAAACATCACCCTGAAAGCCAAAAACATCAGCTTCCCAAACAAATACGACTAATTAGATTTAGAAGGAAAGCAAAGCCCCATTATACTACAGATACACACCGAAGGAGAGAAGCAGCCCGTGTTCCTACAGAGTGATGCCATTCCAGAGTCCCGAAAGTACCTGAGTGAGAAGGACCGCACCTGCACCCCAGTTTCAGGCCCCAGAGAGCAAACTCTAAACAGATTCTAATAGAGGAGACTCTGGGAGACTTCACCTATGTCTGAATCAAGGGCAGAAGTGGCAGTGTTCCCAGAGGAGTCCTGAGTGTCACTTGCCTCAGTAGCTATTGAAACGCTTCCCCAAATCGAAAAGCCACAGCAAAGGCCAGTGGCAGAACCCACAGGGTGGCAAATCTTGAGCATCCTGTCTAGGTGAGAATGCATCATGTCGTGAAGGTCATTTTTATTTGTTTGTTTGTTTGTTTGTTTGTTCGTTTGTTTTTTCAGACACAGTTTCTCTGTGTAGTTTTGGTGCCTGTCCTGGATCTCGCTCTGTAGACCAGGCTGGCCTCCAACTCACAGAGATCCACCTGGCTCTGCCTCCCAAGTGCTGGGATTAAAGGCATGTTCCACCACTGCCGGCAAAGGTCATGTTTTAAATCAGTGTGGAAATCAGGCTGCTTTGTAAGTGATACTGAAAGACAGTGGCCACTTGGAAGAACTCCCTCCTGCCACAACGAAGCTCAGGTGGGTGGATGCCTGAGTGTAGCTACCAAATCTGTCAGCCTCCAAGAACACATAGTGCAGGTTCACAGGAGGACAGGGGCGGTTCTGAGTCAGGAAGCCCCAGACTGTACAAGAATTAGATAGACCTCAATGTGTCCAGCCTGAGTGAACACATAGTAGCATAGAGCAAGACAGAAGGAAGTAGCTGCCAAACTGCCAGACCTACAGAGTCATGTATGCCAGAAAGAGGCCAAGGCCAGCATGGGGGGTCAGCAGGAAGGCACCAGGAACTCCTCAAGGGACACTGTGGCTATTGAACCTCAAGGACATTCAGCTATGGCCGACACGCTGTCAGATGGAATGTCAGCAAGGCTCTATCCTGTATCCACTGGAGGGATAGAAACCCCTGACAGTACACATCCAGAAAGGACATAACAGCTTGGCAGGACAGAAACATCACCTTGTTAGAGGACCTATTTCTGCCTAAGATTTCTTCTCTGCCTGCCTCTCCCTTCCTCAAAATCAACCCTTCACATCTAATCACCTCAGCCCATAACACAGTGGTTCTCAACCTTCCTAATACTGTGACCCTTTAATACAGTTCCTCAGGTTGTGGTGGCCCCCAACTGTAAAATTACTTCATTGCTACTTCATGACTTTAATTTTGCTACTGTTATGAATCATAATATAAATATATGGCATGAAGGATATCTGATATACAACCCTTGTGAAAAGGTCATTCGACCCCAAAAGGGTCATGACCCACAGGTTGAGAACCACTGTGCAGGAGGACAAGGACAGACCCTCCGAAGCCAGAGACAGAAATCTGAAAACAATCTCTCTTCCCTACTAAGGGCTGGCTAACTAAACCAGAGCTGTCCATTACCAGGACACATGAGAGCTTGAAAACCACAGGTCACCTATAGCTCCCTGGAAGGAGTTTGCTAAGGAGCTTCTTAGCAAAAAGGGCCAGGAGGGGGATGAGATGGCTCAGCACATAAAGGTGCTTGCAATCAAGCCTGATGCTGCGTTTCATCCCCGGAACCTATATGATAGAAAGAGAGAGAACCAACTCCATGTTGTTCTCTACCCTTCACATGTACACCATGGCACGCATTCACACTACAACAAAACTAAATGTAATTTTTAAAAAAGTAAAGGCCAGGGATACAGGAAACACTCAGCCCTGTCCTGAGAGCCTGAACCTATTACCACTGTGGAAGGCACCCCAATACCACACCAAAGCTGCCCACTGGAACTCTCCTTGAGATGAGGGCATGGGCAGCTCAGGTAAGGTTGCTGAAGGGGCCCAACCCTCTGTGCCTGCCGCCCCTCCCTCAGAAGCCCCTCGGGGGTACAACAAGAAAGTTTCCCTTCTAATTCCATGGATTTCTTCAACGAGACCAAAATCTTGCTCCTGGTTGTTCTTAATGACCGTTCAGACGATGTATTTGGTACATGAAGATTTGGCTGAGCGAATGTGGGCTCCAAGCTCGTCTCCAGCTGGCAGCTTGGCCTTCCAGAAGCTCCAAGGACTTCTCCCAAGCATCCACCACTTGCAGCCTTCCTGCTCCCTCCATACACATCCTTCCCCTGCACCAGCTGTGCTCTGGGCTCCCCAGGCACCAGGCATAAGCAGGGGCAGCACTTTTGAAGGAGGTGGGAGGCAGAATGGCCCCGTTGCTGCCAAGTTCAAATGCAAAAGGAACCAACCTTCTTCCGGGGACAAGGCCTTGACCGTTTCCACAGAAGATATCAGACATTAGCAACCAGTGGTGACAGGAAGCTCCCCCTCCCAGTTACCCACCTGAACTCCTACTCCTGTCACTCATCCACAGTAACCAGAAGCAATGTCAAGGCTAGATCCTACAGGACCTAGTTCCCTTTCTGGGCGGGTCCAGGACCCGGCATGACCATGGGTTTGGGTCAGCTACAAGTGGCATGGGGAGGGGAGCACTGGCCAAAATTCGGGCCCCAGAGAATGCCTGGGGTGTCCACTAAGTGTCCCAGGGTGAGCTGGCCACACAAACTATCTGTAGAACATCTGGCAGGCAGCAGAAGGCAGGGCTAGACTCACGAGGTGTGTGGGGGGGGAGGGACTGAAGACCAGTTGCTGGGATAGAAGGACCAGGACAGCTCATCTACCTGTACAAGTCTCCCCCATCTCTCCCGCCTTTACCACCTTGCATGGGGATAAGCATCCTCGGGCCTCAGGACTCCATCCATGTGGGACCCCAGCTCAGAGTAGGGCAGGTGATGCAGATATCCAGTGAAGGGGCAGAGCCCAGGAAGTGAGGGTTCTACTTTCATCTGAAGCAACCCCAGAGCCCTCAACCACCCCAGGGCTTTCAGTCACCCAAATCCAAACACCTGGGGATTCAGAGCAGGTTAGAAGCAAAAGAGAGCTGAACAGGCACACATGTCTGCAACTGAGCAAATGTGCATCTCAGGCAGGGTGTGAACATTCATCTGGACACACATGAGGTGACGGGGACGCTGGTGAGGATATTTCAGCGCCTGTGTGTGCAGGCACCTGTGAGTGCGAGCATGTGACTGTAAGCGAACAGACACTGACTGTGGTCTGTTGGCACTGGCAGGGAGGCACACATGCAGGCTGGCCATGTGCACTGTGGAATGCATCTAAAAGCACCTCTCACACCCATGGTGAGTTCGCAAAATTCTCACACCTCCCCCGCAGCCCCACATTGTGATCCTGTCCATTTCAGCTCTCACCTCACCTTCCTTAAGTGTCCCCTCCCAAGCTCTCAGCCCCAAGCAGCCCTACTCAGGGCATCTCCAGGTGTCCCAGCATAAACACCCACCACCCTGAACCCCTGACCATAACCCCACCTATCAGGTGTCTCAGGGCTTGGGCTGGCCCTTGCCCCCTACCCAGACCCTGCCCCACATCCAACACCCAGGCTCAGACCCGGGCACAAGACTCAGAAGTGACTTTATTTCTCTGTAGTTAATGCCCCTCAGGCCAGGCTGTTGGGCTGCCCCTGGCTTAGCCTCCCTCCCCTTGGGGACCTGGAGGGTCCCAGTCCCCTGCCCTCACCCTCCCCCCCACCCCAGCTTCCTGCCAGGATGTCTGGTCTCCTGGAGATGTCCAGCTGCCTGGGATATGGAGCTGGCGGAGAAATGGAGAAGGCTCACATCTAGGGAGGTGGAGAGCAACAGACCTTGATACCAAGCCCTTGCTGTCTCAGCCCTAGCCAGGCCAGGCTGGGGAGGGGCAGCAAGAGACTCAGGGGACAAGCTCCAAAGCCCTGCAGGAGGGAGGGAGGGAGGGAGGGGCCTCAGGGCCCAGCCCAGAGGAGAGCGGGCCCCAGGCTCAGCAGGAGCCCCCCAGCCAGGGCCCAGGGGCTGCGTCCCACTGCTGCTGCCCCGTTGCACAAATCTTTCTCGCAGCAGTCCACGTCGACTTTTAAGATCCCAGAGTTAATGAACCCCATCAGATAGTCTGAGAAAAAGTGCCGCTTAACGAAGTCACAGGAGGAAGCACACATCTTGTTCACAGAATGATCCTTCCTGCCTGGGGGAAAGAAGAAGGCATGAGGCTAAGGTCCATCTCCACCTGAGCTCTGTTCCTCCCGTTCCTCCCCCACCCCTTCCACCCCCCACCCCCGAACCCGGGATCCTCTAGATCAGTTTCTGACTTGGAGCCAGGGAGGAACAAGCCAGTGTTGTCTTGCCTCAAACTCATGCTCTTGTTCCAGGCAAGAGGAACTCAGAGGAAGGATATCTCTGACCTCTCCCCAGAGCTACCTTTCAGTAGCCTAGTGCCCTTACCAGGTCCAGACTTACTGCTGCTGGGGTCGGTGATCCGCACGCTGGCACAAACGGTGTCGGTCGGCTGGCATTGCTTCGGAGCGCAATGGCTGGAATTGGCCAGGGTGCAGTCCTGGCACCACAGGCCATGGGCTAGGCAGGGCACGGGGAGGGGGATGACCAGAGGAACCCAGGCCAGGACAGCCAGGCCCTGCACCCCCTCTTCCCCAACCTGCTGCAGTTACCATAGTAGAACCATGCCCATAGATGAGTTCCACTCCTACAAGACCCGAGTGGGCCTCCAGGTTGACCCTGTGGCTGTACCTGCACATCCTCCCTCCCCCATCCTCTTCCTTCTGCACAGAGCACCCCCAAAGATGGGTGGTTTCCAAGATAGGAGAGGCCCACCCTACTTAATAGGAAGCCCAGTGGACCTCTGAGAACGAGGGACCTCTACGCAGTACCAGAAGCCCGTTGAAAAGGCGCTTGATGCCCTCGGGTGCGGGGAGAGCCCCGGTGGCTGGAGCTGAGATATAAGAGTGGTGGTCCCCGCGACATGACCCCTCCCCGCGGGCCCCCGACTCACCCGGCGAGGGGCACAGCAGCAAGGCCAGCAGTGCCAGGCCGAGGCTCTTCATGGCTGCAGGCAGCATGCTCTGAGAGGGCCTGAGAGAGGCGCGGGGGCTGCAGGCAGGGGTCCTCTGGGGCGCAGGCCTGGAGGGGAGTAGCCTCGGTTAAAGGACCCAACGCCAAGGACCCTTCCCTTTTCCGGCCTGAGGACGCGACCATTCCCCAGAAATCAAAAGCGCGCGCGGGGGGGGGAAGGGGGGTCCTTCCAGGAGCCTGAGATGCCCCACCCCCAACCCATCACCCGGAGCATCCACCATCACCGCCTCCCCTCCAGGGAAGAGAAATCTGCCCTCTCCAATGAGGTGGCCGCCTGAGGTCCCCGCAGCCTTCACCCTGCACCTGCGTGAGGAGGGTGTCTTCTCTCCCCAGGGAGCTGTAGGTGCGTCCGGACAGGAAAGGCGGGAGGAGGGAGCGCACCTTACCTGCCGGCGGGGGAGGGGTGCACGCCGCGTCCCCGTCCTCGTCCCCACCCCTGGGCTGGGGGGCCGGGAACCCCGCGCCGAGTCCCCTCCCCTGGTCCCCGCGCGCGCGCCTCGGCGCTCACCGCGAATCGGGGCGTGAAGTGCGGGCCTCAGGGTCGGGGGCGCACTCACATCCCTGGGGTGTCCGCACTCCGGGCTCAGCAGCGGGCGCGGCGCGGGGAGCGATGCCCTTCGGTCTCCCTGCGGACCGGAACCGGGGCGCAGCTTCGTCTTTCGGGGAACGCAGCCGCAGACGCGGACCCCGCGCGAGGGGCGGGGCGGAGCTGGGGCGGGGGCCTCGCGCGGCTGGGAGACGCGCGGGGCGGGGGGCGCCCGGGGCTGGAGGCCACGCAGCAGGTCGCCCTACCCGGCCTCTGCGCCCTTTGCTCGCGCGCAACGCCCCCTCTAGGCCTCCCGCTCCCGCCGCAGCTGCCCCCCACCCCTATCCACCTCCCTACCCGGCGTGGGAGGATCCTCCCCCTCCACTTGGCCGTGGTCCCCTTGCAGATTCTCGGAAGAGCTTTGGCTGCTAAAGGAAGCGAAATGCACAAAGACGCAGCGAAGGAGGGAGGTAGCGGTCGTGGGGTTCAGACGCCCAGCCTTGGGGCTCCTCCCTCCCCAACCTCCAACTCGCTTCCGATTGTTCCAGCCAGGTCTACTTCTAAGAGCGCCCATGATGCCCACCTGCAAACCAGCCCCAGGGACTTTTGTCACCAACCACACCCACACCCAGAAGGTGACAATCCTGATCCTAGTACAGGAAGGGTTAGCCAGATTCACACCTTGCGCTGCGTTCCACCTGTCCTTCCATCTCTCCTGGGCTCTGAGTAAGCCACAGCTACCATCGCTCCTTTTCATCCAGGAGTAAAGGTGTTTCGAGTTCAAAGCCCTAGGCAGACCTTGGTTTCTGCCCCCTCTGCCCATGAACCTCACACCAGACAAACGACTGTCATTAATATCAGATCCTTACTAGATATGGCAACCTGGGCTGTCAGTTTGAGAGCATAGTGTCTGTTCTCCTTATTCTAAACAGCACATACATTACTTCAGTATAGGTGCACATCTCCTCGCTGTCTGAGTGTTGAATTACAGGTGAGGAAAACACACGACGATAGAGCCTCCTGCCCAGTGCCACACCAATCACTAGGTGACTCGGCCAATAGTGGGATCAAACAGCCTGAGCACTTGAGTGGTTCACAAAGGAAGAGAGGGACTAGACACTTTGAAGACAGGATCTAGATGAAGAGAGTGCAGAGGGTAAGAATTAATTCATACACAGTTCTCTTCCCTTCAAACCAGTCAATACCATAGTGGAGCCCAGAGCCAACATGCTGGACAGAGACAGGAGTGGGCGGAGCCTGAGCCTGCACGCAGGCTCAGAGGATGAGCCTTCTTATGGATTCTTGCAGAGTAGAGGCCAGGTGAGCCTTCTAGGTAAGTGTTTTCTGTGGAAATGCAGGGAGCAGGCTGCCAGCAGGCGAGTGAACGGTCCATGAATCCTTCTCATCATGACCACTGCTTGCAAAAGCCGATGGCCTGCCTAGATTTACTAGCAAACCAAAGAGTCGCACGGAGATAAGCGTCAACAGCAAACATACGTCCTAGAACACAAAGATAATGTACTTATTAAGGCATACTAAAAGAAGGAACATGTGACCACAAGCTGAACAGCAAGTTTATCTGAAAGACAGAAAAACTTGAAACTTGACTTCAATGATAAAAGATCAACGGAAACCTTGGAAGAATTCTCAGTAAAAGAAGCCAATCACCAAGAAAGAAGGAACAATAACAACAAACCAAGCAAACAAACAAACAAAAAATCAAAAACAACGCCGGGCGGTGGTGGCGCATGCCTTTAATCCCAGCACTCGGGAGGCAGAGCCAGGCGGATCTCTGTGAGTTCGAGGCCAGCCTGGTCTACAGAGTGAGTTCCAGGAAAGGCTCAAAGCTACACAGAGAAACCCTGTCTCGAAAAAACAAAACAAAACAAAACAAAAAAATCAAAAACAAAAACCATTTTATTTACATTACATGCCCCAAATTTAAAAATCTGACAAAGACAGAAAGATTAGCCAAGTATGGGGGAGGGAGGGAGGGAGAGTGACCAGTTTAGGACACTATTAATAAGTGATTAAATTTCATCTTGTAGTGATGAAATGCCCTACAACTAGATCATGGTGATGGATACACAACTTGTTAATAAACTAAAAGTCACTGAAATGTATCCGATAAAAAGTGAATTTTAGCCGGGCGGTGGTGGCGCACGCCTTTAATCCCAGCACTTGGGAGGCAGAGCCAGGCTGATCTCTGTGAGTTCAAGTCCAGCCTGGTTTCCAAAGCGAGTTCCAGGAAAGGCACAAAGCTACACAGAGAAACCCTGTCTCAAAAAACAAACAAAAAAAAGTGAATTTTATGTTATATAATGTGTTATATCTCAATAAAGCTGTTGTTTTTAGAAAAAAAAAACTCAACAGAATTAGCCAGCAAATTAGACACAGCTGAAGAGGGAATCTATGAACTGGAAGACAAATCTGAAGAAATCATCAGGAGAGGCTGAGACTATATAGCTCAGTGGTAGAGCTCCTGCCCAGAAGTGATCAGGAATGTAACACAAGAGATAAGACATTGAGAGGCAGAAAGAACTAGAAAAGGCTGTTTGCAGAGAGCCACGAAGAGTCTAAGTGAAATCTCTAAGTCGGTGTTTGGAGACAGTCTACTTAAAATAAGTCAGAACCGGTGAAAGGTAAGTGTTGGTAAAGATTCTCATGTATAAGTGAAATAACAAATGACAGTTTACCTAAGCATGGCATAGCAAAATTGCAGACCACCAAAGACAGGAAAGTCTAAAACATGAAGGAGATAATGCTAATGAATTGGGTGGCAGAACAATCAGAACCAAAGAAAGTGAAAGAGTATCAGATGTTTTTTTTTTTGTTTTTTGTTTTTTTTTTTTTTTGAGACAGGGTTTCTCTATGTAGCTTTGGAGTCTGTCCTGGAACTCGCTTTGTAGACCAGATTGGCCTCGAACTCACAGAGATCTGCCTGCCTCTGCTTCCTGAGTGCTGGGATTAAAGGCGTGTACCACCACCACCACCACCACCACCACCACCACCACCACCACCACCCCGGCCTAACTCTGAATTTTATGCACAGTTTTTGAAAATTAAGTGCAAAACAAGTTTTTCAGATAACCAAAAGTTTAGAAAACAGTTTAGTAGCAAGAAAACAAATAGCCTGACTTAAAATCAACAAAGACTCTAACTAGACACTTCTCAAGAAGGCATACAGGTTTGTAGAAAAACACTGAGTATCACTGGTTACCAGGGAAACGCTAATTCAGGCCATAATGAAATGCGGCCTGACATTAATTAGGATGATGATTACAAGACTGAAGTGCTGGGCATGATGTTGGGGAAGGGAATGTGTGCATGATCTCATTTGAGGAGCAGAGACAGAACGGGAAGACCAGGAGCTGGGCACCAAGAGACACAGTTTCCCTTAGACAAGAGGGTAGATCATTAAGATCTGTTACACAGTCCAGGGCCATAGTTAATACAATGTGGTTTTTTATTAGTAAGATAAAGTGTTTTAAATGTCTTCACTGAAAACTTGAGAGAACAAAAAGTTGATTGGCTTTGTTTAATTATTCTACAGTGTACTGTGTGTCCAAAGGTTCCCTGGCACCCCTAAAATACACACAACTATTATTAATCAAATGTAATACTTCTTTTGGTCTTGCTTTCTTGTGGCAGGGTCATGCTTGGTAGCTCAAGTTGACCTCTAACTCACTATGAAGTTCTGAGGTTCCAGGTGGGTACCACTACACTGTTGTTTGGTTATAAAGGTTACCTCCCTCCAAGTGCCAGTCCCCAGCTGGTGGAACTATAGGGAGAGCCTTTCTAGAAATTTGGGGGGGGGTGGAGATATGGGGACTGGTGGCAGGTCCTGTGGAGTTGCCTCTGGCCCTTCCTGGCCCTTTTCTTCTTGTCTGCCAAGAAGTTAGAACAGCCTCTCTAGCAAATGTTCCTGCCATAATGTCCTTCCCGCCCAAAGCCTGATGCCAAGCAATGTAGACAGATACCTCTGAGACAGGGAGCCATAATATCTCTTCCCTTATTTAAGTTGCTTATGTAGTAGCTCTTTCTGTCACAGCAACAAGAAAGCTAGTACACTGACTTCAAGTTTTTGGTTGATTATTCTGTGTTTGTTTGGGGGGATTTGGGGGGATTATTTTTAAAGATAGGCTCTCATGTAATTCAGTCTGGCTTTGAACTTGTTATATAGCCCTGACTGGCCTTGAACTTCTGATCCCTCTACCTCTGTCTTTTCCAAGGGCTGGAATTATAATCATGCTCCCCCACAATTAGAATACTATTTTGTAGTTTAAATAAATGTATTTTTCAGATAAAATTCAGAGAGTTTTACCACTAACCACCCTTCATTAAATAAGCATGTAAAGAAGCTACTTCAAGAAGGAGCATGATGATGAAGGGAAGCCCAGATATGAGTGAGCAGAGAATTGACTTATAAGAAGAGAAATCTGGGACTGGAGAGATGGCTTAGCGGTTAAGAGCACTGGCTGCTCTTCCAGAGGATTCAGGTTCAATTCCCAGCAACCATTTGGTGGTTCACAACCATCTGTAATGAGATCCTGTTCTCTCCTGGCCTGCAGGCAGACATACAGGCAGGATAACTGTACATAATAAATAAATAAGTAAAACTTAAAAAAAAAAAAGAAGAGAAATCTAAGTCATCTTATAAAAACAAAGACATCTGCCATGTGTCTTCTAGAGAGCTGGAGACCTGGGCATCAGTACGTGTCAGGTAGAAGGGAGCTCTGGAGTGGGGGGATCCAAGACCCTGCATTGTTAAGAAGCAGCTAAGTGAGCGATGAACTTTAGAGTCCTTTAGATGCTTAGGATGCAGAGGAAGGTTTCCAGGGCAACCACAGGCAGCTCTCAATGAAGGGACCACACGTGGGGCAGGCAACACGTGCAAAGGCTGGAAGTGGAAAGACACCAAGGATGCAACGCTGGAAGGAAGGCAGGATGAGGTGGGGTGGGGTGGGCAGACAGAGAGCCTGGGAATCTACAGGGAGGTGAGGTGGGAGACCAGATACCAGAACCTTCATGGTTTTCGGTCCACAGTATAGGGGGCATGGATTGTGCCCTAAGAACGGCAGTGTGTTACCTTAGTCTGTAAGTCAGAAAATTCCTGTTGGAGAGTATGTAACTAATTTTATGTGACATCTGGCTGGCCCATGGTACTCAAATGGTGAGTCAAACATTAGTCTAGGTGTGTCTGTGAGGATGTTTTTGGATGAGATTGACATTTAGCCAGCATTTTTCTTTTCTCTTCTTTCATTTATTCCTTAGAGTCTCACTATGCAGCCCAGGCTAGTCTCAAGTCACTATATAGCCTAGATGAGTGCCTCCTGACCCAGACAGATTAACATTTATTACATTTATTTATTTATTTAGGGGTGTGCCATGGCTGTGGGTGCATTGTGTAACATTATTACAGGAGAGACATAAACAAATATCTACTCACCCCAGATAGGGAACCACAACAGACCAAAGGAAAGGTACCACCAAAGTCCAACCTGTTGAACAAATGAGTTTTACTCACTTCAGGGTTCCTTAGAGAAATATGGGCATCCCTCACAGGACAGAAATGACTCAAAGGCAGTTGGATCGCCAAAAGCCCATCCCAACATAGACGATAAGCTCAGGAAAGCTGGGAACCGAGAGCACACTGCACAGCCTGCATGCAGATCCACAGGTTGGAGAATGTCTCTTCCAGGCAGCTCAGCTGCTCTCTGTCTCTTTCAGGTGGCTTGGTTGGTCTGAGAGTGGGTCTCCGTAGTCCTCACTGCTTATACACATTTGCTAGGTAAGGGTCCTAGTGAGTTTAGTTGGTTTCAGGGACTTACTGAAGCTTTTGTGTTGTTTATTTCCTGAATTTAAAGAACTTCCCTACAGGATAGACGGTTTCCCCTACCTTCACAGCATCCTGAGTCCTGTGTCTTAACCAGCTTTAATCCATGATGGAGGTTTATCTAGGAGAAAATTGCTACTCAGCAGGGCAGGGGTCAGAGGTCAAGGGTAGCATATAGGAGTCAATTCTCCCCTTCCGTCATGTGGGGCTTAGAGATTGAATTAAGGTTTAGCAGCAAGAACCTTTACTCACGGGCCCATCTGGCTAGAGCACAGATTAACATTTAAATGAGTAAGTCTTGATTAAGTAAACTGTACTCCATAGTGTGGGTGGGTCACTTCTAATCACCTGAAGGCCTGAATAGAAGGGAAACTGGAGGGTGCCTGAGCAAGAGGGAATCCTGCCAGCCCTAGCTTTGGGCATGGTTGCCTGTAGGCTCTTGCCTGTTGGCCTACCTGCAGGGGTTAGAACTGTCAATCCCCACTATCATGGGCACCCCTCCTTAAAATAACCCTAGATAATTACACATCCATGTGATCTCTGGAGACCCCTGAGTAGTGTAGGACACTGGTGATGGATAGTGATCAGAGCTCTCTGTAGTCCATTCTGGCCTTGCCTGGTCGCAAAAAGCAACTGGCGGGGATGGGATTGCTAAGGGCTGTTTTAAGGTATGGGAGTACCCAGTAAGTGCCCTCACCACCTTCCATCAACTGGTCCTCACTCAGGACCTCTACGCCAGCACGATGCTGCCCTGTGACAGCAATAGAAGACGGATGTCATGTCTGCGGGGCTCCTGTGCTGGAAAAAAAAGGCAGACTGGGGTAGCCAGGCCAACAGGAAGGTAGCCCTGGGCGGTGGCGTGCATGGTAGAGGACACCTAGGATGCAGATTTCCCTGAGAGGAAACAAAGGGATGGGGAGAATCAGAGGGCAGCTCAGGCTGTGCACTGTAGAAAGCCACAGGGGCCATAGGATAAGTGGAGGCAGGGCATAGCGTCCAGATCTGGCCATCTTTAACCATATTTGGCTCATCCATTCTTATTCCATGCTACCCCTCATGAGGCAGGGGACAGGACAGTATTTCTGGGTGTCCTAGCATAAAGCTGGTTTTTGCCCCCTTTTTCAGTTGACTCTGGCGTTCCATACAGGCATGGTGTGGCTGTGAGGGGTCCATGATGACATGGGAGACTTTCTGGAGCACAGCCAGCCCATTCCCAAGATGAAAACCTCTGACAAACTTCTGTTCAGAGATGTAGGAGGTCCCTGTGGCCCCAAATCTTGTATGAAGGAAAAGTGGTGAAATGAGCTTTTGGGGTAGCTCCCCCAGACACCACCCTCAGGCATCCTCGGCCTGTGATCTCGCTCCCCCACTCCCTCAGCCCAAGCTAAATGAACTTGCTTTTCACAAAGACAGCAGCTGCAAGAGTGAACCACAAAGACTGCGGCTCCTGTCTTGGTTCCCCTCAGCACTTTCATGGTTCCAATCCTGGTATAGCCACCTGCCACACCGTGAAGTGGCTCAGGTGACAAGGGTTGAGCCTGCCAATACCCCACGAATGAGTCTGGGAGTGGACTCCACCCAGTCAGCCTTTCAGATGGGCCAGAAGCCCCAGCTTCACGTGAGATCACAGTCCAGAGCCCCCAGCAAAGCACCTGAATTCCTGCCGGAGGCACCAAGAGAAAAATGAATGTGCTGTTTTAAGCCCCTACGTTTGAAAGCAATTCTGCCTGCCACACTGAAAAACACAGGTGGGTAAGGCCTAGCTTATGCATGAGCTGGGGTGGGGGCAGGGTACAGGAGGAAGCTAGACTGGAGAGAAAATAATGTGTGAGGAGGGGAGGGCTGGCCCCTCGGGATCACGGAAAATGGAGAGCCTGAGACCTGCTCTCCCCAGGCTGGACTTGGTTGCCAGGGAGACGCGATTCCCAACCTGGTTTCCAGGCTACTCTGACTTCCTCCTGATGCTTGCGGTCTGTTGGTTTTCCCTATCAGGATTTTTGCAGGCAAGAACAATGGTAGCCATGATTAGCAGAAGAAAGGGCTTTAAAAAAAATGGAAAATGAATGGCCAAGGTGTGGCCTGGCTACTGTAGCCTGGGCAGCCCCCCTCAGGAAGTGGGCTTTGACTACCCTCTTTCAACCTACCCTGGCCCATACTGCTGTTCCTAGGGCCATGGGTTAGCAAGGACAGTAGGGCTTGACCCTATCTGAGACACTCTGCTGAATACCATGCAAAGGACTGTGTGTTTGTTTATTTACTTATTTATTTTTGGTGTGTATCTGCAGCTGTGTGTGTATGTTCGTGGGGAGGGGGTACACATGTGTGTACATGTTTGTGGAGGTCAGCAGTCAACATGGGTGTGGTTCATCAGAAACTGTCCATCTTGGACTGGGCATGGTGGGACACACCTTTAGTCCCAGCACTTAGAAGGCGGAGGCAGGCAGATCTCTGTAAGCTCCAGGCCAGTTGGGTCTGCATGTCGAGTTCTAAGCTAGCCAAGGAAAGAGAAAGAGGGAGGGAGAGAAAGTACACTGATTTTTGAGGCAAGGTCTCTCACTCGATTCAGCTCACCAAATAGCCTGGTCTGGTAGCCAGTGGGCCTTGTCTCCATCTCCCCTGTGCTGGGATTACAAATTTACCCACGGAGATTAGAAGAGGACATCAGATTCCCTGAGATTGGAGTTACAGACGATTGTGAGCCACTATGTGGGTGAGGGAATCAAACCCTGGTTCCCTACAAAATCAGCAAGTGCTTTCAACTGTTGAACCAACTCTCCAGCTCCCCATGCCTCTTTTTTTGTGCAAAGGACTGGTAAATTGGAGCTGCCTCCCACCACTCATGTCAGAACCAGGGACAGCGCCAGGGTCCATTCTGGGTGCCATGAGCTGCCCAGAAGCCAGGAACCCCAGAGCTGGACAGAGGAGAGTAGATGGCAGGGATGAGGGGTGAAGGGCCAGCTGAGGCTTGCTGCTTTGGTCAGTGCTGCCAGGATCCCTTCGACCAGTTAGAGACCGAGCTTGGAGGAGTCACATAAGATGGCCCTATTGCAGCGGTTAACACCCACGGCATAAAGAAACCATTGTTTCCAAAACCTTCCTGGTGACATGCCCCACCAGGAGCCAGAAGAAGAGATACTCAGTGAGGATGTCATATGGCCATGAGCCAAGCCTGCAGCTAGGCTCGGAAGGGTGAGGAAGACTCTCTAGACCCTCAGAGAGTGTGTGGCCCTGCTGACACCTTGACTTAAAAACTTCTAGCCTTGGTTGAGTATGGTGTCACACATCTGTAATTCCAGTACTTGAAAGGCTAAAGCAGGAGGATTGCCATAAGGTTAAGACCAACCTGGGCTACATCATGAGTTCTAGGCCAGCCTGGGTTACAGAGTGAGAAAGAGCTTAGCTCAAAAACAAACAAACCCAGAAACCTTCTAGCCTCAGCACGTGGCTTGGGAGTATCATTCTTGCTTGCTATTCACAAGACCCTGGCTTCAGTACAGGACAGCAAAACCTACCTTTAGCTTTGAACTGTATGAGATAATGAGAATAAACCTCTCCTGGATTAAGTATCTAACATGTGGTGCTCTCTCACAATGGTTACTCCAAGCTGCCATGCTGCCTCTTCAGCTTTCCAAGTAGGCTGGCCTGGTAGCCAGTAGGCTTCAGGGATCCTCCTGTCTCCACCTCCCCTGTGCTGGGATTAGAAGTGTGCCCATGACCAGTGGCGCCTCTTCAGGTTGAACGGTCCATCCTCCAACATAGATGTTTCATTATGGAACACTTTGTGGCCAGAAAAAGTTGGAAGAATTGAACAACCAGCACCCACATGCCCAACAGCACATGCTCTGTTAGCCTGCAAGGTGTCTCCCTGTCCCTCCAACCCTCCCCCCCATCTTGCCTTCTTGAAAGGCTTCAAAAGAAGCTGTGGACATCTGCATAGTCCCCCTGAGACCTCAGCATGTGTGTCATTGGCCATTCAGCAGTGCTCTGTGATATCAGAGGTAAAAATCTCATTTAGTAAAACGAGTGAGACATTCCACAGCAAGCTCCATCAGCTACATGACACTCAAGGCCCTCTGCAAATCAGACATTGCTATCACACACACACACACACACACACACACACACACACACACACACACACACACACACCAAATTCCCTCCTGCTCACTCACAGTTTTCCTCCTTTCCTAAGGCAACCATTAGGAAATTTGAAAAGTCTTTATTTGGACTGGAGAGAGATGCCTCAGCCGTTAAAGTCTAGGCTCACAACCAAAAAGGTTGTAGCTAAGTGCTGTCTGCCCTGGCCCTGGCCAGAGGGGAAATCCACGTTGTCTGGGTTTGCTTTCTTTTGCTGTGGTAAAACACTGAGCAGAACCAACTTGGGGAAGAAAGGATTTGTTTCTGCTTCGTTTCAGCGTACAACTTCTAGGTCACCGTTCAACATGGAGCGAAGTCAGGGCCGGAGCTTAAGGCAGGAACCTGGAGGCAGGAACTGAAGCAGAGGCCATGGAGGGGTGCTGCTTACTGGCTGGCTCCCATCACTTGTTCAGCCTGCTGTCTTACATAAATCAGGACACTCTGTCTCAAGGATAGCACCATCCCCAGTGGACTGGACCCTCCCAAATCAATCATTAACCAAGAAAAATGTCCCCACAGACATGCCTAAGGGCCAATTTGATGGAGGCATTTTCTCAGTTGAAATTTCTTCTTCCCAGATGGCCCTAGCTTGTGTTTGTTTAGTTAACAAAAAAAAGAAAAGAATAGAAAAGAAAAAAGCCTAGCCAACACACATGGTGTGTTCTTTTGTGTCATTCCCTGTCATGGGTCACTACAGCCTAGCAATTCGTCCTTTGCCTCGCTGAGGAGCACTTGCTCAGATGAATATCCATGAGTAGGCTTGTCATTAGGTGTTGGACATCAGCTGTGGTTTGTTACAATCAATCCATGTGAGTCTATTAAATGGGTAACAGGGATTTATTAAGATATAAATTGAAGAAATACACTCACGAATACAGAACAGAGTAGACAGATCAGAAGTCATCCTCTGATATGACCTGGAGCAAATCCACCTTGCAGGCAGGAGCAGGAAGAAGGGGCATGTGACCCTTCTCCCTCCCCTTAACAGAGGTCACAAACAACAACAGAAAGCATTGCCTCCTTCCCGCCCTAAAGTCCAAGGTCATGGGCAGAGCAAATACCACTACAGTGGTTCTTACACCCCAGGCCTTGGTGTGGACATGAACTTCCCAGGCTCTCCAGTCAATAGCTGGGTGTGGATTGTCAGATCTGAAGTCAGGTGACATTCTAAGCAATTGCTGGGCTTGCAGTGTGTGTGTGTGTGTGTGTGTGTGTGTGTGTGTGTGTGTGTGTGTGTGTGTGTGCGCGCTCTATACCGCAACCACATGGGTGTGTGCAGTGCTGCACAGGACACCAGCACTTTCTGTGATGTGAACAGCTCTGGGAACTCCCACTTGGTCCCTCTGCTTCCTAGAGTCTTACCTTTTCCTGTAGTTCTTGCCTCTTACAAGAATATCTGAAGCCCACACTGAGGGTGCTCGGTGCCACATGCCCTGACACTGGGTCACATAAGAAAAGACAGGGTAAAGTGCTCAGTGGGTAAAGTGTCATACAAGAGTGAGGACCTGAGTTTGGATTCCCAGAGCCCACATACAGCTGCGCACAGGAGCGCTGCATTCTCAGTGCTCTCATGGGAACTGGGAAGTGGAGATGGAGAAATCCCTGGCATGTGTGGTGGTGAACAAGAGACCCTGTTCCAAACAAGGTGGAAGGCAGGGACAGACCCTCGACCTCTACAGACACTTGACCTCTATATGTTGTGGCACATGTGTGCATACACACACACATACACATACACACACACACACACACACACACACACACACACACACACAAACCATGGAGGTTGCATGGTAAGGGAGGAAACAAGGCAGTCAGCCAAGAAAGCTGAATTTTCTTTCAGATCCCCCACTGCTGTGAACTAATCCTATCCCAGGAGAATCCACCCACTCCCCAGATAGCATTAATCCACTCCCCTCCAGGGTGAGCACCAAGAGCTTTCATGAGGCCCCACCTCTTAAAAGTCCCACCCCTCAAACCGCCATATTTGGATAAAGCTCTGAGCATATATATGAACCTTTGGAGGACAACCCCTACCAGAACTATAGCACAAGGGAACAGGCACCCTCTCCTAAAGGAGAAATGGCCAGAAAACGTGAACAGACTGTTCCCAGAAACATTCACTCGCTCGTCACTTCAAATTCAAGGTTTCAAAGTTTTTTATTTATCATCTTTTTAACCTGTGTCTCTTTCCATAAAATGCTGGGGTGGAGGAAGACATCATTGTTAACATTCCCACGTTTGCTTGCTTTGTGATGCTTCAAAATTACACTGCTGTCACAAGAAGGCTGGGACTGAACTCCTGCGTCTCTTTGCAGGTCATCTCGTCCTGACGGTGTCACACAAGCTGGGCCTTCAGAGAACAGCATTCGGAGGAGGCGGCTGCCTTTTTCTATGTATCCTTACTGTGAGGCTCCTGCCAACGTGACACACAGCCGGGCGTTTTGATCTTGTTTTCCATTTCTAAGGGTTTTGTTACTGCGGCTGTTTTGAGAGGTAGATGTGTGTGAGAGAGAGACAGAGAGACAGAGAGAGACCTGGTCCATGGACAGGCACAGAAATCCTTTACAACTTTAAACTCCTGATTCCCTGTCGTCACCTCCTGAGAACCGGATTACAGGTGTGCACCACTCTTGCATCTGCCAAGCTCAAGGGATATTTTTTTTTCACCTACCATTTTTACTGTGTGTGTAAGAATGTCCACATTATTACAAAGCCAGAAGTCCAGGGCAAGGTGCACTGACAGATGCATCATCCCTGTGCCTCCACCCCTGTTGCACTGTCCTTGTCTCCTCTTCTGGGGTCCACCCTTCACCTGGGTTATGTGTCTTATTTCTTTTTTGCCAACACTAGAAACAGTTGCTTGTGTTGGCATTCCCCTCCTTAGACCAAGTGTAGCCATCAGCAGCACACCGACATTTTTATGTATCGGCACAGCCTGAAGAAGGACCTGTGGGCTCTTTTCTTGGGCCATGTGATGGTGGGGGAGGGGTCATGCACCAGTACACCCAGACAGCCAAGTGGCAGTGGCCCTTGGGAGGTTCCCCACCTTAGCTGGTACAACTATCACTACAAGTGAGAGCTTGGTGTGTGCCACTCCGTGTGCATGTGTAACCTTTAGAATGGGTTCCTGAAGTGGGCAGAAAGGTATTCCGTCTGCAAGTATCTGTGTCACTGACAGGAATCCCTCCCTGCCGACTGTGAGTTCTCTGAACCCAAAGTGTACCTGCTGATTACCTAGAGCTGTCAGTCTCGGGGAGATATTTTTTCCCTGAACAAGAAGATCCTGAGCTTCAGTTCGCGGAATCAGGAGATACATGAATGGTGCTTTCTGGAAACTATCCATTCATGATTTCTGATATTTGTTTTGTTTTTGTTTTGTTTTTCGGGACAGGGTTTCTCCGTGTAGTTTTGGTGCCTGTCCTGAATCTCACTCTGTAGACCAGGCTGGCCTCGAACGCACAGAGATCTGCCTGCCTCTGCCTCCTGCGTGCTGGGATTAAAGGCGTACGCCACCACCACCTGGTAATTTCTGATTTTTTTTTTCCCTATCTTCCCCTCCTAGACATCTAGGAGCTCCTCAGCACTCAGGAAAGTTAACCTTAGCATATAAGTTACGCGCACACGTCATTTTGTCCTTTTATGTTCTTTCTCCGCTCCCCTCTCGCCTCTTTCTCAAACTGTTGACATCCCCCTATTGTTCTTATTACTCCTGTCTGCCCTCCCACACTCCAGGGCAAAGGGCTCCTTCTTCTGCAAGGCAGGGCCATCGTCATCCGTCCGTCCCACCCCCCACCCCCCCACCCCCACCCCGCTCCTTGCAGTGAGGTGGGAGATGCTGTCAGAAAGGCTTCCCAGTGTGGCTTCTTAGGGCTCCTGCTGACACGCTGGGGCCTGTGGTCTGCAGAACCCCCAGCCAGAGGCTCCTTTGCTGGGAGTAAGACTGGCTGGCTTGCTGCCAGAGGCTGCCCTGGGCTTCACAAGTTTCTGTGCCTCCTCCTCCCCATTTCTCCCTAGCTTCTTGGGAGCCTGGGAGCCTGGAAGCCTGGGTGGCCTTGGCCTCCAGCTGAACCTACCATTTCCATCCGGGTTGCCTGGCTCTCCATACTATTTCTCTTGCCATTGTGCTTACACCCTTGGGCCCCTTCAGCCTGTCCGGCCAATTCCACACACCTGAGTTCTTGGTAATGCCTAGGAAGACCTAGGACCTCGGTGTCAGGAAAGCACTATCAGAAACATAGACAGACATGTTAGGTCACAGACCCTCTAGCCGCTACCCCGCTGCAGCCCCTCCCTCTGCGGAGTTGATAGGCAAGTGTGGTGCTGCTGTGTGAGTGTGACCTTGCAGTTCTCAGAACACTCCTCCTCCCTCTCCTTAGACCCAAGACAGCTTTGAGTTATAGCTAGACTTTTATCACTAGCCGCCCGGCGGCTTCCAGCGCACAGGCTGGGTCCCGTGGTGTGGAGCACCCCTTTTCCCTGGGAAGCTATAAAAGGAGGAAACCCCCTTTTGTTTCCTGGATCTGAAGGGAGCTGAGGGAACTGGAGGGTTTCTCACGCCCTTCAGGGCCTGCCATGCTGCCTCGTGTTTGATACTAACTCTCCGTGGGTGCTAGGAACTGAAGGGAGCTGAGGATCTTTCCCTTCGGGACTGCCTTCGTGCCCCTGCTCTCTTTCCTAGAGGAGCTCTACCCTAGACCTGTGGGCTCATTCTCCTCCTTCAGGTTGTGGTGTTTCCTACTGGATTCCTCTGAAGTGTAATTTCATCTCCACTTCCTTTCTAGGAACTTTATCTGATGATGCTCGTGTCAGAATACACTGAATAAAAACAATTTCACAAGCTCTATCAGCTTTTCAATTATTTATTTACTGTGTGTGTGTGTGTGTGTGTGTGTGTGTGTGTGTGTGTGTGTATCTGCATGAGTTTGTGGTGCACTATGTGTGTGCAGGAGCCTTCATAGGCCAGAAGTGGACATCAGATCCCCTGGAAATAGAGTTACAAGCAATTGTGAGCTGCCTGATGTGGATACTGGGAACCGAACCCAGGTCTTCTGCTGAGTCATGTCTTGGCTTCAGTTTACCAAGTAGTCTTGATTTCTCTCAATAGCTGGCTGAGATGAACACAGGCTCATGTGTTTCGGTCTTAATTACTAATAATAGCTCTCAGACCACACGTTATACGTGACACAGTAAATACACCTTCACACATGTAGGAATGTCAGTTACAAAGTGGTCATAAAGGATTAATGAGGCTGCAGCCAGTTCAGCAGGTTCTAAAGAGGCCTAACAGGAGGCTAACAGAAGTGAGCAGAAAGCAGGTAGAGACTAGATGCACAGGTAAACTCTGCATGAATTAGATAACAAACCATGCTGGAGGCCCTGAAGTCAAGTCTTAGGGTCAGAGTTCATCTCTCAGGAAGGCACAGCCTAATAAAAACCATTGTTTATACAATATGGAGTAGCCTGATCTCCACACTCAGTGTCCTGGAGAAATGACCTAAACATAGTACCACCAGCTGAGGTGCATTCCTGAGCATCAGGATGCCTCCATCAAGAGGGCAGGGGATGGTGGACAGACAGGGATACTCCAGGAGAACTCCAGCAGGTGTTTAAGGGTCCAGTGTCCCTGTGGTAGCTTTCATATAGCTATATCAAGGCTGGTAGCACCCTATCCCTCACTGGCTACACACACTGAGACTCTGTGTCTCCTTATGCTGGGGCTTGGCACAAGCTGGGTGATAAACAGGACATCAGGACTTCCCAGGGAACAGGAAGTGTTCCTACTGAGCTGACACCCAGGCAGAACCCAAGCATAAGCATTTAACAGCACACATGAGCTGTCCCTAGAGGGTCTGGATCCAGAGAACAGAGCTTGGGTCACTTTCAGGCCTTAGGGAGCTCTAACAGCTCCCCCTAAAATGGGACCAGATAAGCATACTGAAGGAGAACACCTCTGTGCTCCCATCCCCATTCTGGACCTTGTCTACCTCACCTCTGTGTGTCTGCAAAAGAGCTGTTATTTCTCTGCTAGAGCAAGCCCCGTGCCCTGCACCAGGGGAGGAAGACACTGCTCAGGCCTTAGTTCTCCAGCACAGCCTGAAAAAATGCACCCCAAGGCTAAGGGTCCCTGTCCTTGTCTTGGAGCCACAGATTCAGGGCAGAGCTCCAGGAAAGTGGGAGATGCTGGGTCCTAGAGATGTACTGAGGAGAGTGACATGCGAAGGGGGTTACACTTGGCTGTGCAGGAAGTGCTAACTCTATCCGTTCCCCCAGCCACTGCAGCTTCCTTCTCTCTATTCAGGCAGCTGCCACAGCGCCACTGTCATGACCTTGGAGAACAGTGCCAGCTCCTCGACTGCAGCCTTTCCCAAGACGGAAGATCTCGTGGCTGTGATCACAGGAGATGCGACCCATAGGCAGAGCCACTTAACCTCCCTGGGACTTGAGCTAATGTGACAGTGCCTCCTCAGACCTCGAAGAGCCTTCTGGTGCCTGGTGCCACCTGAGCCTCTCAGAGATCAACAAGAACCCTGGGAATTGCCTGAGGTTAAATTTGCCACCCAGCACAAAAGGAGCTGGTTGACATAGGCTTCATTATTGAGCAACAACCATATCCAGTAAACAGCAAACTTGTGTGACCCTCTTGGTGCCCCTTAAATATGGAGCCCAGGCACTGGCAGAGGGAGGGCTCTGTCTAGAACCATCAAGGGCACTTCTCTGGCCTCAGCTGGGGATTCAATAGGTTCCCGATTCTATTGACCCACTGAAGTCGAGGAGCCCTCATGCGGAACCTTCTAGAATCTTTGGAAAGTATGTGCCCCTCCTCCCCCCAAAAACACACACACAAAGGAGCATTTCCATCCTTGACAGCTTAGTGGCAGCCCACAAAAACTCAATTCCAGATGGAGACAACATGATCGGATGTGGAGCAGAGAAATGGGAAGATGCCAGGTCCCTGGTGCCCAGCTGATCCACATGACCAAACTCTCTCCCAAGCCCTGAGCTCCTAGGCCTCTAACCAGGGGCCCTGCCTAGTATAAAGAACCAGTTTCCGGCTCTCCCCACACACAGCTGCCTCCCACTTTGTTAAGTTCTGCAGCTGTCTCCATCTTTTCTCCTGCTTGGGGTGACATTGCTCTTTCTCTAATTTCCCAAGCCAAATGCACAGCTGATGAATGTCAGCCTTCTTTTTTAATACGTTCTGGAAAGCAAGCACAGCTCCAGAGGGGCCCTAGAGAGGAGGAAACCCATAGAACTGTTTGTCCGGGGCTTTTTATAGTTCTATGGCAGACACTGGACAAAAGCTGAAGCCATTTCTATTAAGACTGGATAATTCTCTGAATGACAGAAAGCCCACATGTTTCATGCCTGTTCTCCTGGCCCAACCAGGTAGATGGCATTCAGGGGAGTAGCCACCTTGTAAAGACCCCTGTTCATCTTTTTTTTTTAAAGATTTATTTATTTATTATGTATACAGTATTCCATCTGCATGTATGCCTGCAGGCCAGAAGAGGGCACCGGATCTCATTACAGATGGTTGTGAACCACCATGTGGTTGCTGGGAATTAAACTCAGGACCCCTGGAAGAGCAGCCAGTGCTCTTAACCTCTGAGCCATCTTTCCAGTCCCAGCCTCTGATCATCTTTTGTTTTGTTTTTTGTTGTTTTGTTTTGTTTTTTTGGGACAGGGTTTCTCCGTGTAGTTTTGGTGCCTGTCCCAGATCTCACTCTGTAGCCCAGGCTGGCCTCAAACTCACAGAGATGCACCTGGCTCTGCCTCCCGAGTGCTGGGATTAAAGGCATGTTCCACCACTGTCTGGTTCCCTGTTCATCTTTAACTTGCTTTGTTAACTAGTGACCTTGTCTGTCTGGTGGTCATTAGCTTGGACTGGCATTGCTAATATGCCCGCTTGGCAGGTATTGCTGGTTAATCCTCAGCAGGGTTTGCTGGTGTTAATTAAACTAAGCTTTGTTCCCATTGTTTACATGACCAGCTTGTAGCTTTACCATAGAGCTAACCCCAGCACAGCTACCAAAATGTAGCTACGGATGTTCTTAGTTACCCCATATCTAGCCCCTTGTCTACAGGGTGCTCAGGGATGGTCTCTTTCCTGAAGTAAGTGGCAGCATCTTAAAAGGCAACCTTACTCACAATTTAGTTCGTTGCAATCAGCTGTATTAGAATTGAGGGGTGCCTTTCCCACACTCCACAAGGGAAGGAGCTTCAGGAGAGCCAGCAACGCTGCCCCTCGTCTCTGGTCAGCCTAGTTCTCTATCTCTGTTCCCAGCATCACCATTTTAACCCTAACATCCCATCCAATCCTAACCTCTGCCTTTGCTGGGATAGCTGCACTGAGGCTGAAGGACCGAGGCGGTCACAGAATTGGTTTTTCAAAGTCCCATCCTGAAGTCCTGATCCCTGAGCCTCAGAGTGCAGCTGTGTTTGGAAACGGACCCTTCAAAGAGGTGGTGATGGTTAAGACAGGTCATCAGTGTAGATCTTAATTCAATAAGAAGAGATCAGAATGGATGGAAGGACACACAGACAGACACACAAGTCGAGGGGGGGTGGGGACACAGGAAAAAGATATCATCTACACACAGGGAGAGAGGAAGCAGCCTGGCTAACACCTTTATCTTGGACTCCAGACTCCAGAATTCAGAATAAAGCTCCAGTTACTTAAACTGCCTAATCCATGGCACGCATCACAACAACCTGGAAAAGGAAGATGGTGTGGGTGGGGTGCACTCATCACAGGTGCCAGGGCAGAAGGGGTTCCATGCCCCTATAGCCACAGCCTCCCTTTCGAAGAGAATCAGTGCACCTGTCCTGTAGAACTGAAGGCAGGGGCCATGGCGGAGAACAGCCAGACTCTAGCTCCTGAATTTGTGGGGGTCATTCCTGGCTGCCCATCATCCTGCCTCCCTGAAGAAGCCACAGCTGCTCAGTAGCCTTCCAGTAAATCCTATTTCTACTCGAGGAAGCAGGGACCATCCCTGCTGTGGGTATCTAGGAGCCCTGGCAGACAGACAAAGCACTGTAATGAGGAGTGGAGGGATGCCAGGCAGACAAAACACAACCCGCAGAGATGAAAGAGCTTGTGACAGCCCACGTTTCACACGGTACTAAAAGAATAGTACAAAAGGTCTCTTGGGTCAGTTGTCGTAAAATGCCCTGGAAGGCACGGTCTTGGGGGTTAGAGCAAGGTACTGGAAGGAATGGCCCAGGACTTTCCTCCACCTACCTAAAGGATCTTGTTCTTGCTATGGCTATGTCCAGGCGCCATAGTCCTGGCTGAGTCCACCTGCAGGGGTGTAGGTCTGTGGCAAGCGCTTCCACCCTCAGGAAGTGTTGGCAAACAGGCCAGGTCCCAGTAGGCCAGCAGGTGGCAGGGCAGTTTCTTGAGCACTCAGTCTTCCTCCCTGCTCAGGGCCCTTCCTCTCCAGAAGATTCTCCTCCCAGAAAGTAAGCAGCCAGGAGCACCACTGACTTTCTCTACCACTAGATGCCTCCGACTAACTTTGGACTCCTGCCCGGTCGTGGGGTATTCAAGCTGGAAGTGAAACTATGCAGGAAAAATTCATACAGTGTAATTTTACATTAGCAAAAGCCTGGTGAGCACATTTGGGAATAGGGAGGACTCCATTGGAGGTTGAGCTGGATGTGCTTGCTGCATTGAGGTCTCTCCACGGAGGTTCTGTGCTCAAAAGGAGAGCTCCAGAATGTCAGGACACTCACTGCTCCACCAATGGGAACCTAAAATTGACAGTGGCCACAAGCAGCTGAAAACCCCAAAACATTCAGCTAATAAAGAACCTCTGAAGGCAAGAAACACTTGACCAAG